ATTAATCTGCCAAGTCGCAAAGGGGTAAATCTCATTAAACTAGACTCCGTCGTAGTGATGAATATGTGATAGAAAGAGGTGGAGTTGTCTCCATGGAAAGGGGATGCTAGTTGCATCCATGGCCTTTGATACGATAAGGTGTGATACCACTAACAAACATTGGCCTTTCTTGTCGTACTTGCATTGTCAAAGGGTGGTCTTGGTTGTTGTTGCCCATCGGGCACCACACCACCATGCACGGGCGACCACTAAGGGACCGCCGACTACTACTTGATGGATTTTTATCGCTGAAGGGTAGCCATCCCATTCGATTGTAAGGTTGCAATGTTACCGGCATCACGCTAATCGTACCATGTTGCACTAACTCTTTGTCCATTTTTAAGAGTTAGTGAGATAAAAATATGTAGAAATTCGACCCTTTGTTCGTTGCTAGGAGCTGAGATAATGAAATATGTAGAAATGTGTAGCCTTTTGTCCATTGTTGGAGGCTAGATAAGATAGCAGATCTGGTGTTTTATCCATCATTGCAAGCTGTGTAAATGTCATAAGATCAGCCCGTTGTCCATTAATGGGAACTAGTGATAGAGATATGTAGAAATAGATGCTTGGCTCGTTGTCCATCATTGGGAGCTATATAGATCAGCTCATTGTCCTTTGATGGGAACCATGTAGCAAAATAGACTCTTTATCCATTGTTGGAAGGTAAATATGTAGTAGTGAATATCACTGTAGAGGACATGATCGTCAAAAATGCCTAGCCATGTATCTATAGCAAGATAGGCTCTTTATCTATTGTTGGGAGGCAAAGAGATGTAACAGTGAATGTTGTAGTAAAGATCATGATCGTAAAAAAAGTCCAGCCATGTTGTGCAAATAAATGTAGCCAGAAAGATGTAGCAGTAAATATTGCTGTAGAGAACACGATTGTCAAAAATGCCCAACCACATTGTGTAGATAATATAACCGTGTTTGGGCATGTGTAAGAAAATGATACTGAAGTAGAACATGTTTGTATCATTTCCAACGGAATGGGTAAATGCCATTTCTAGCGATGTAAGAGAATAATGTTGAGTACTGCTTTTGGCGATGATGAATCCGTTGTAGATATCAGCAGAAAATATAATATAACATATCTGATGTTGAGACAAACCATCTGAACCTTCTAGTCGAAGTAGATGTGTTGTGAGTAATTCAACATGGCTTGAGCAAAACTTCAGCCAAGAAATTTGATATTGTTAATGCAACTTCGATAGAGGTGGATTCAAACATAGCTAGAACAAGACTCCAGCCAAGAGATCTAATGTTGTTGATGAAGCTCTAACAAAGATAAAAGTGAGCATGACCAGAGCAAAACTTCAACCAAGAAATCTGATGCCATCTATGATCATGCTTCGACATGGATAGCATTGAGCATGGCTAGAGTAAGAGTCTAACCAAGGAATCTAATATTGTTGATGACAATGCTTTGATATGGATAGGATCGAGCATGGCAAAAGCAAGACTCTAGTCAAGAAATTTAATATTGTTGATGATGACACTCTAACATGGATGGAACAGAGCCAAATCCAACCATGATGATAAACAGCAAAGTTGAAGCTCAAAATATGTTCACAAAGTTGGAGGCTTTTGTATATATTAAAGTATCTACATGCTTAGCTAAGCCTTTTTGAATAGATTCACTTGCATAATTCAAAATGATAGGTGTAGTTTAGAAGTACCCGAGTGATGACTTTGAACAATGTAGATATATGGCTAGAATGGAGGCCTTAGTCATGTCATCACTGGAGTTCTAATAGTGATGATACAATTTCCCCTTTGAAAAATAATGGATTCTAAGTGGGGAACAACAAGTAAAGATTCTTGCATTGTGCATGTAATCTGAAGCCAAAGAGAAGTTGAAGCTACTTCGAAGATTGTTGTTAGCAATTTATAAATTAACTCCCTCTTTTGAAGAAATTGAGTTGAAATTCCCCTTAGCCATATGCTTCGCTAGAAGTTTGAAGCTTCTGTTAGATAAGGAGGTAAATCTCTTCCAATGTTAATGAATTTTTTAAGAATCACATCAGCTTTTACTTTAATGCATACAAGAAAATGCTGAGGGTGCTTATGCTGTTGGAAGTAAGCTTTTTTGACAAGATAGTTATAGTAGTGTTGGGAAACCAAGTAATAGACTTCGCTGCAGCTGATGCAAGCCACTTAAAGAAATTGGTTGTGATTACACCATCCATGCTATCATGTATCATGTAGAATGATTGCAGGGCCTCATGAGTTACTACACATAGAGAGTTGCATGGCAATTTGGCTATTACTTAGATGTTTGTTGATGCATACTTTTGTAAAAGGTCAAACTCGAACTCGAGTAGTCCCCACATCACCAAGACTTGCCTCTATCTAAACACCCCTTAATGCCTTTAACACACATTTACCAAAAGACCCAGCAATCTATGATGCTGTAATACATGGTTAGGCCCAACAATATCTGATGCCGTGATACATGGCTAGACTCAATGGTATCTAATGCTGCGATACATGGCTGCATCGCCAGAAATATATAAGGAAGTCTCTTTCCTTTATTATTTCCTTATTATTAAATCTCATCATTTTCATCAACTAATTACTGCTTCTACATGCAGGTCATCAATAAACCCATGAATCCAAACTCATGAGAATTATTTGAGATAAACTATGGGAGTAGTGGCTTGGTAAGTATGGATGGGTGAACATTGCCTGTTTGGCGAAGTGAGGTATTCGCACCAACGAAACTTGGCGTTGGTGATGTTGCTTGACTTTGCTAGAAAAGGCTAGGTGGTGAAGACGTGGAAGATGAGCTTGGTCACAAAATCGTACTATTTGATGCTAACTAAAAGCTTAAAATCCCGTTCAAAACCAACCAGAGATGCTGTCTTGGTCACCATTAGCAAGTTGCAGCTGTATTTAATGCAAAGGTGGCTGCACAATGCTGAAAACTGTTGAAAAGGATGGCTACACAAGTTCCATGGTTTTGGGAACTGTTGAAAAAGATCTGATTTTGTTGGGAAAATCTACCAAAATCTTGGGCAACCCTTGGAAATCTAGTGAAGCTTCGCCAAAACCACTGGGTATTTCATAATATCACTATCAAAAAGCTGTCAACAATGCCCAAAGCCACTCCAAAACTCGACAGCTCACCCAAATCTACTCATTAGGCCATTGTGCACCTCTAACCCATCAACCCAGAAATTACAAAAATGCCACAACACACACACACACATATCTATATATTACTTTCCCTTCATTTTTTAGAAGATTTGAACAGTTTTCACAGCTTCAACTTTCTTCCTCACGTACCAAAACTCCCATTTTTCCTCTAAAAAATCCTTCATCTTCAACCTCTCCCCAAATACACCAAAAATACCCAAAAACCACCATTTTTATTATATTTTCTACACTTTTAGCACTATTGAACAATTTCCAGACTTACAGAACATCATGGCTGGGAGACAGCATACTGCAGCTTCAATTTCTAGGTTATTTTCTTGAGCATTAGAGGATCAAGCTAAAGAGTTAGCATAAAAAATGGGTTCAAGCCCTCCATTCACAAGCCCCCATGATGGTCATCCTTCCTTCTCCCATCATTACTTTCAAGTTTATTCCTTTCGTCTTGTAAAAGCTTGAAGGAGACCATTGTGCTTTTTATCTACAATGTGAAGGTTGCTTATTATACAGTAGAAATATTTGTCAAAGATAATAGAGGGCACATTCATTGTCTTTGCTATTGTGCTACAATATACTATGTAAAAATGTGCTTCTCAAGTTGTAATTTTTAACATTTACATATTTTCTATCCTTGCTATTCCTACAGCAATATACATTTCATTTTCATTATTTTTGGTAGTTATGTAATCACTCTTGTTATCTTGGGAACACCATCGTCACCCCACTCTTTTTGGCTTGGGTGGGGACATTCTATTTATAGACTTTACTAGAGAAACTTTACTCGTGGACTTCATTGGAGAAACTCTATTTTTAGACTTCACTGGAGAAACTTTACTCTGGACTTCGTTGGAGAAACTCTACTCTCAGACTTTTTTGGAGAAACTCTACTTCAAGACTTCGTTGGGGAATTTGCTGCCAACCAACATTGCTGGACATCTTGGAACTTTATCATCACTGCCAGCTCTCCTTCTCGACTTGGTTGAAAAACTTACACCTTCAGACTTTTATTGGGGAATTTGCTGCTGACCAACATTATTGGGCAGAACGAGATCGCCCATGGCACGTAGCTTTTTGCACGTGAAACGGGTGCTGCCAGAAGGACCTTCCTTATCATTCATAGGTGGCATCCTAGTCAACCTCCACATTATCACTGCTGCTGACTCATCAACGTACATCATTAGCACACCCCAACAATGTTCTGCCACCCCCTTTTCTTGGATAGCTCTGATCGGGACTTGGCCATGAGGCCTTATATTGCTGATGTTGCTATAGCCATATGCAATAATGCCTTACATTGCTGATGTCGCTATAGCTATATAAAGCAAAAACATTGTGTGATTGCCCATGCTTAGAATTTGGAAAGATGAACATGGCCAGAGCAAGGGTATTGGCGAAGAGCAAGGACATGAGGTTGGCGATGTTGAGGCTAGAGGTAAATAGACTTCTTTGTTTTTTTTTTTTAAACCTTAATTCTTCTTCCATTTGAGGTTTTGGCATGGTTGGATATAATAGAGAGATTTTTGCACTTATGTTGTTTGTGTAATTTTGTAAGTGAAATTAGCCAAGTAATTTCTTTCAAGAAAACCAGCATCAGGCAACAGAAGGAGTATGGCCAAGCCATTCAAGAGTGAAGCCCACAAGTTTGGTGTTTCGCTGGCTAGTAAACAAATCAAAGTGAAAGCATCCATGCCTCACAAAGCTAAAATGCCCAAGGAAAATGAAGAGAAGGCAGGTGTAGGCACTGATGAGCTTCCTTGCATAATCAACAAGCTTTCTATCGTCGTTGACATCAATAAGAAACCATCATATGTGAGTCATTGTTTGTATGTGTAGCCCTTAGCCTTTAGAGAAGGGCTATATGTGCATTTCCCAACCTCTAGCGAAGGGTTGGACAGACTCCATTCTTATTCTTGGCAATGATGAAGTTTCATCCAAGGCAAATGAGGCCAAGAATGTGGAGACTCTGATGAAGAACATGGATGATGCTCTGGTGATGAACATGGATGAGGCTCTAGCAAAGAACATGGATGAACCTTTGGCGCAACGTGGAGTCTGCTGTAAGATCATTGCTAGTGAAGTAGATGAGCCTTAGTTGCTTGACATCATAGTTGGCTTGGTTGATGACATCTTTGATTGGTATGATCTTGTATCCTTTGCAGCAAAGCGCAACAAAAAAGAACAAAGGCAAGTGCAGCTCCTTCATGGAAATCCATCATTGTAAGTCAAATACATTTTGTAAGCAACTTTCATGATATAAAAGTCATGGCTAAGAGATATTGTTTCATGCACTTTTACTGACCTCAAAACTTTTGCCTTTTGTATTGATGTGGACAAGAGGAGGTGCGAGAGTTCTCATATGGCACTCCTAAAGCAGTGAAAAAACATGAATTGATAAAAGATTAGCTAGCCAAGACAACAGTCAAGGTATACACACTTTTGTTTTCTAACAACCTGAAGCAATTTTGCCATTGTTAGAGCTATCACATTTTCCTCTTAGCCATCTTTTATGATAATAGAGCAAGTCCAAAGAATCACCTTCTTTTGAAGCCGATGATATTGTCTTGGCATTAAAGAAGTCTTGTCTTTTCAAAAAAATAAGATCTTTGTTGAACAGTTGGCTTTTGCTAGCTTTTCCAGATGTTGAGGGTGATATGGCTAGGATTCAAGTAGCTGCCAGCAAAAATAAAGGCAAGAAGGCTATTGCAGAGGCCTAACCCAAAGTCCAACGAAGACAATGATGTGAAATCCACCGAGTGATGAAGCATCAAAAGGTAACCATAAGTCCAACCATGAGATTGGCGATGAAAATGATGGCATGTTTGATGTCAAATTTGGCATAAAAAGTTACGTTAGAAAGAAAGGCTTGCCATACTTAGCTGCAGCTTTAAAAGAATCCATTCCTAACAAAGATGAGATAGATGTTGACGAACCAGCCATGAGTATATCAAAGAAGGCTGTTAGCTCTGGAAAAATCATGTCTAAGGACAAGTCCTTCTTGGTTTGAGCCAAGTTGAGTGATATAGATGACATGTGCAACAAGGCTAAGAAAGTAATGATTGAGAATGCCTTTATAAATCTTTGTGTGGCTGTGAGGTACATGGAAGTAACTCCCTTTGCTGAGATGGATGAGGAATTCTTTCATTTGCATAAGGATGCCATTGATGATGCCAAGAACATAAACTTTGAAGTTGGAGCTACTTGGGTTGGCAAAGGCAAACCTTGGAAAGGGTAGGTTCAACATGGTTGGGAGTGGCATGGCTAGCAACTAGGATAAGTAGATTGACAAGCAAGCAAAGTATGTTGAAAATGTGCAGAAATCTTTGGCTAATTCAAAAGAGTTGATGCTTAAGCTGGAGGTGATGTTGAAATCAGTTGATGCACATTTGAAAATATTCAGCTAAGAGAAAGAACGCTTGGGTTCCAGTAAAGTAGCTTAGCGAAGTTGCCCAGCAAAGTTGCCCAACGAAGTCACCTAGCGAAGTTGCCCAGATAAGTCACCCACTTCATCAAAAGTGTGTTGAAATAGCCAATAATTATGGTAATGAGCATGGTCCATTTGTTCTATGAGCAGCCATGTTCTTTAACCCCCATGTTGATGCACTTTGTCAAAGTAGCAGAAGTACTCATCAAGTGTAAGAATACCACTAGCAAGAAATACTAACCATAGAAGAACACTCCATTAGCAAGTCAATGGCGACATATATGCTGACCATGGGAAAGGAACCACCATCACATGATAAGTTTATTGCGACACAAATGCTACCCAAGAGATAACCGAGCAACATTGTTAGTAGGTCTTGATGTGACACGAATACTAGTGATGAGAGATAAGAATGTTGCTAGCAAACCAAGGATGGCTGAAACCCTAGCCATGAAAATAACAATACTAGTAAGTCTTGAAAAGTCACTAATACTGGCCATAAGAGATAATATTGTCAACAAGCTTTGTGGAGGCACTAATACTGGCTAGGAAAGATAATATTGCCAATAGGCCTTGAAGAGGCATTAATATTGGCCATGAAAGATGATATCGCTAGTAAGCCATGTAGAGGCAAGAATATTGGCAATGTAAGAGAAGTAATATCTCCGGCAGGTTGGCAATGATGTGACTCAAGTGTTAGCAATGCATTTGATGTGTAAGTAGATCTAAAAGATTCAAATGCTACCACCAGTTGGTTTGAAGCCATGAGACTATAATGCTAATGAAGCAAAATTATAGGCAAGCTTGTTTGGCGGTGTAAGATAATCAGCTTCGCCAGGAGAAATAAAGTGCTTATAGAATATTTCATTCTTGGCTTCAAAAGCTAAACATTCTACCTCACTTTGCATGGACAACTAAGGTGCGAGCAGTGACCTTCTTTTTTGTCAACTTCACTACAAACTTCCAATAGAGATAGCTTTGATAAAAATGGCTGTTCCCCTGGCAGCATTGAGTAGCCTTGCAAACAGACTGATCCCAATATTTTCAAGGACAGCACAATATTCTGGGAACATGTTGTGGATGCAGATCTCCACCAAGAAAGATTCAGCATGGCCACCATAGCAATCAAGTGCCAAATCTCTAAGAGCCTGTTTGGTGTGGCTGGTAGGAGCTTTAGCTTTTTGAGTACTGTTATGGGTGATAAGTTTAAATTTTTATTGGAGGGAAAATAGAGCTTTAGCTTTTAGAAAGGTGAAAAAGTAAGTGAAAAGTAAGTAAAAAGAGAGTTTATGAAAAGTTTGGATTTGAAACTTTTGAGCTTTTACTGTTTAAGAGCTTTTTGAGGTTAAAAAAATATTTAAAAGTGTAAGTTTTTAAGAGGGAAATTTAAATGCATAAGACATGAATAGTGTCCAAAAGCTGAAGCTCCAATAATCCACACCAAACAGGCCCTAAATCTTTTTACATAAACCACCAAATCTTCGTCGGCATGTTAGCTAGTGTTGCAGAGATCAAGGATGGTGATGTGTTCCTCACTTTGAAAATATTTTTGACAAAATTGCTCATCCATCTCATCCTAAGAGTGAATAGAGCCGAGGAGCAAAGTAGTATACCAAGTGTAAGCTTTATCGGAGAGAGATTTAGAAAACTCACATAGGCACAAGTCTTTATCATTGGCGTAAGCTCCCATGGCATCGAGGAACTTGTTGACATGCTCTACATCGTTGCCCTTCCTCCCATCATATTACGGGAATGTAGGACTTTCATATTTCTTTGAGTGAGGCTTGGACAGAATCTCCTTCGGGTATGGTGGATCATGAATGAATTGAAAAGTGGTTGAACATTGTCTAGAACCCTCCATATCAAAGAGAGCAATAAGATCTACCATGGTGATGAAGCCTTGAGTAAAGTCAACTACATTGGGTGAAGCTCCAACGATGTTGGTGGCTGTGATTATTGGCGGTACTAAGTTATTTGGCCACGCAACAAAGCCCCCATTATCATTGGTAGCCTTAGTTTGGACTTCTTGTGGCTAGGACGTCCCAACCATATTGACCTATTGTGTTGGATCCTGCACAGTATGTTGAGCTTGCAAGTTGGTGAGAAGTTGAGTAGTTCTTTGCTGATCTTTGTGTAAGACCCAAATAACTTGGACCAAGGATGCAAGATTAGGATCAGTGATTCCTTGTAAGAGATCATCAAAAATATGTATTGGTGGACATCACTACTAAACTTCACGTTCATCATCTTGGCTAGGTTCTTGATTTTCATTAGCGATGTGAGATGAAGTTGCTTTTGTGATAGGCATGGTTAGAAAAATCTCATTGAAGATGAATAAATATTGCTAAGGAAGAATATTGAAGATATTATACCGCTAAGAAAGAGCAAAACAAGATGAAGCTATATGACAACCTCCCCAATGGAGTCGCCATTTTTGTTAGGGTGTGTTGGTGATGTAGGTTGATGAGTCAGCAGTGGTGATTATGTGGAGGTTGAATAGGATGCCACTATGAATGATGAGGAGGGTCCTTTTGGCAACACCCCATTCACATGTAAAAGCCTACATGCCACGGGCCGTCTCATTCTACCTAGTGATGTTGGTCAACAGTGAATTCCCCAACAAAGTCTAAAAGTGTAAGTTTTCCAGCCAAGTCAAGAGGGAGGGTTGGCAGCGACGATAGAGTTCCAAGATGCCCAACGATGTTAATCAACAGCAAATCCCCTTAACAAAGTATGGAAGTAGAGTTTCTCCGGCAAAGACTAGAAGTAGAGTCTCTCTAGCAAAGTTCAGAAATAAAGTTTCTACAGCGAAGTTCAAAAATAATGCTTCTCCATCAAAGTTTGGAAATAAAGCTTCTCCAGCGAAATTCAAAAATAGTGCTTCTCCAATGAAGTTTGAAAATAAAGCCTCTTTGGCAAAGTTTGAGAACAAAGCGCTTTTCTAGCGAAGTTAAAAAATAGAGCTTCTATGGCGAAGTTCAGGAATAGAGCGTCCCCAATGAAGCTAGAAAGAGTGGGGTGACAATGGTTCTTTCAAGATAACGAGAATGATTACACAACTATCAAAAATAATGAAAATGAAATGTACATTGCTATAGGAGCAGCAAGGATAGAAAATATTTAAGGGTTAAAAATTACAATTTGAGAAGCACATTTATGCATAGTATATTATAGCACAATAGTAAAAACAATGAATGTGCCCTCTATTATCCTTGACAAATACTCATACTCTATAATGAGTAACCTTTATGTTGTAGATAAAAAAACAATGATCTCTTTCAAGCTTTAACAAGACAAAAAGAATAAACTTGAAAGTAGTGATGGGAGAAGTAAGGGTGACCGTTGTGGGGGCTTGTGAATGGAGGGCTTGATCCCATTTTTTATACTAACTCTTTAGCTTGATCCTCTAATGCTCAAGAAAATAACCCAAAAATTGAAGCTACAGCATGCTGTCTCCCAACTATGATTTTCTGCAAGTTTAGAAAATATTATGTAGTGCTCGAAGTGTAGAAAATGTAATAAAAATGGTGATTTCTGGGTGTTTTCGGTGTATAAGGTGAGAGGTTGATGATGAAGGATTTTTCAAAGGAAAAAGGGAAGTCTGGTACGTGAGAAAGGAAGTTGGTGTGGAAAATCTGTCCTACTAAAAAATGAAGGAAAATAATATACATGTGTAGTGGCATTTTTGTAATTTCTAGGTTGATGGGTTAGAGGTGCATAGTGGCTTAATGGGTAGATTTGGGTGAGCTATCGAGTTTTTAAAGGCTTTAGGCATTGCTGATAGCTTTTTGGCAGTGATATTATGAATTACCCAGTGGTTCTAATGAAGCTTCACTGGTTCCAACGAAGTAATGCTAATCTGCTGAAGATTGCCCATTGTTGGTAACTCTCCAACCATACGAAATTCTATTTTTGGGGGGATAATTGAGTGTAGCCAGCAAAATCAGGTCTGTCCAAGATTTTGGAAGATCCTCCAAGCAAAATGCAATATTTTTCAATAGTTTCTAAGACTAGCGAACTTGTGCAGCCACCCTCCTCAACAATTTTTAGTATTGTGTAACCACCTTTGCATTAAATATAGCTGTAACTTGCTGACGGTGACCAGAACAACATCTCTGGTTGGTTTTGAATAAGATTCCAAGCTTCTAGTTAGCATCAAATAATACGGTTTCGTGACCAAGCTCAACCTCCACGTCTTCGCCACCCAGCCCTTTCTAGTAAAGTCAAGTGGCTTTGCTAGCACCAAGCTTTGTTGGCGTGAATACCTCACTTTGCCAGATGAGCAATATCCACCCATCCATACATACCAAGCCACTACTCCCACAGTTTATCTCAAATAATTCCCATGAGCTTTGATTCATGGGTTTATTGATGACCTGCATATAGAAGTAGTAATTAGTTGATGAAAATGATGAGATTTAATAAATAAGGAAGTAATAAAGGAAAGAGACTTCCTTATGCATTTCTGACGATGCAGCCATGTACTGCAGCATTAGATATTGCTGGCCCTAACCATGTATTGCAGCATCAGATATTGTTGGACCTTTTGGTAAATGCACGTTGAAGGCATTAATGGGCGTTTGGATCAAGGTGGGTCTTGGTGACGTGGGAACTATCCGAGTCCAAGTTCGACTTTTTACAAAAACTTCCATCAACATTACCTACGTACTCATTTTCATGTTACAGAAAAATAAAGCATTTTGCATTTCTTTTAGTTTTCTTTCTTTCTTTTCCTTGCTTTAATTTCCTACACGAACCTTATGCTTTTGAGACAGTTAATGTCTAGACCAAAGGTAGTGTTGATATTGATAATGAGGTTGACAAACTTATGGGAAAAGTGAATGCCAAATAGGATTTTGACATAAAAGTTGTTAACATATATAACGTTCTACCTTAGCATAAATTTTACACAAGATTTTAGCTATTCATTGTTCCATTATGTATTGATTAATAGCTTAGATTTATCATAATTTTTTGAAAAATAATACATACACTTTACAAAGTTACACACTTCGTTACATACTTCAATAACCATCATTTATGATGACTAGTCCTTGGTCGTCGTTACTTGTCGCTATAGGTTTTGAAAGGTCACCACTTAATAACAGAAAAAAAGAAAGAGTTTCAAGTGGGAGCAATTTTTTATAATACATGGCATTATGATGTTTGGCTTGAATAATCTTATTGAATTTATCAATCAACCTTATTCATATTTACAAGATAAATCTCCATCTTTAATTAAGGGTGACAACAATAGCATGTTAAAATTATTTACACCCACTACATAATAATAATTTAACTTTAATAAAATATTTTAAGTAATTAAGAGTTTAAAATTTTAATTGAAATTATTTACACCCACCAAATAGTAGTAATTTAAGTTTAAAACAATGTCTCAAATAATCAAGAATTGAAAACTTCAAATTGAAAATTTCAAATTTGAATATTGAAATAAGTGGAAAATGATTAAGAAAAATAAAAGATTTTTTTTTTATACATTTGATATACTAAAAAATAATAACAATTTAAACCCATATTTTCAATGTAGTTGTCATCACCTTTAATTATCACTTTAGCTAATCCTAACAAGTTAAGTAGGAGTAATTTTTTGTCAATGGTTGAAGCCCTCGAAGGTAATGGAAGAACCATATCCTAAAACCTCCCATTTGAAGACCTGAAAAAAGGAGAATAGATAAATAGCCCTAAGGCAAAACAAGTTACAAATATTGAATTATCTCTAAAAAGGATCAAAATATAATATGATTGATTTTAATAGGTTGAATACCCTTTTTGGTCCTTGTATTGAAAAAATCCCCTTTTTGTTGTTTAAAATTTAAAATCCAGCCCCTTTTTGGTCCCTCCGTTAATTTTTTGCTAAGCTGTCACGTTAATTAACGAAATTACTTAATTATTTTTTAAATAAATAATATTATAAATGATGTGGAAAATATATGAATAAAATTATAAATCCATATAAGCTTTTCATCTAAAAATTGTAGATCACGTGTACAAATTAAAAATTTTCCTTTTCAATTATGAATTAAATGAATTTAAACATAATTAACTTTAATTTCTTCATCCTCTTCTTTCTGTTTATCCTTATCCTTGTCCTCACCTCACCCTCATCCTCGAGCATCATCATCTCATCGTTTATCTTCACCATCCCTTTCTCCTTGGTCTTCATCATTATGGGTTCCTCGGGGTTCCCCAAGGAACCTAGATCTAGGTTCCTCAAGGAACCCAATTTTTGGGTTCCTCACCAAACCCAAGTTTTGGATTCATTACAGAAACTCAAATCGTGTTTGATATTTGGGTTTGAAACTACATATGATAGATTTATGTTGCTGCATTTATGTTGCTATGAACTTCATAATCTGGTGCATTCATGATCTAGATTCAACAAGAAGAAAGGGTTAAGAATCTAAAATTAAGGAAAGAAAGAGAATAATTTGTTTTACAGAGGAGAAGTTATGGTTTATTAATGAAAATATTCCTATGGATTTATATGTTAACTAATCTCATATGTAAATGGTTGATTATGAACAAAGAATTTTGAAAGAAGATGATTTCTAGAGAGAGAATTGAAAAAAAAAAACGGAATTTAGGGTTTTTTTTTTTTTTAGTAGACAGAGTGACATGAAAGGGTATTATTAAGTCCATGTAAGCACCTTTATAAGGTGGAATATCCACGTCGGATGTTTCCATTAAGATAACGTGACACGTGAGCAAAAATTAACGAAGAGACCAAAAAGTGGCCAAATTTTAAACTTTAAAAACCAAAAAGGAGATTTTTTTCAATAGGAAATGGACCAAAAAGGGTATTTAACCCTTTTAATATAAAAGAAAGAAAGAATATAAGATTCAATTGCAGAACAAAAAAATATCATATCAATATGAAGATTGATCAAATCACGAGAAATCAATTTATTAATTGATTGATTTCAAGGATTTGATATTGTAATCTCATTAATTAATAAAAATACTTTTAATTAGTAGTTATTTTCTTTCATGGTGAATCCCTTACCATATTATATTAGAAACCATATTATATTAGAAACTTCTTCAATCTCACCCCCCACTATCACGTTTACTCTCTTACCATGGATGGTACTATAAATAAAGCAGTCCTCTCAAGCTAATTATTCCCAAGTCATCACATCATCTATCTCTCCAACTACTAGCTCAAGTTACGTACCTTAGAAACCCTGCACGAAATCTTGTTGCTTTTTAGGATCATGGCATTCTAATTTTTGGTTTGAATAATCTTACTGAATTTATCAATCAACCTCATTCATATTTACAAGATAAATTTCCATCTTTAATTAAGGGTGACAACGATAGCATGTTAAAATTATTTACACCCACTAAACAATAATAATTTAACTTTAATAAAATATTTTAAGTAATGAAGAGTTTAAAATTTTAATTGAAATTATTTACACCCACCAAATAGTAGTAATTTAGGTTTAAGAGAGTGTCTTAAACAATCAAGAATTAAAAACTTCAAATTGAAATTTTCAAATTTGAATATTGAAATAAGTGGAAAATGATTAAGAAAAATAAAAGATTTTCTATTTTTTATACATTTTATATACTAAAAAATAATAATAATTTAAACCTACATTTTCAATATAGTTGTCATGCTCTTAATTATCACTTGAGCTAACCCCGACAAGTTAAGTGGGAGCAATTTTTTGTCAAATGGCTGAAGCCCTCGAAGGTAAAGGAAGAACCATATGCTAAAACCTCCCATTTATAGACTTGACAAAAGGAGAATAGATAAATAGCTCTAAGGCAAAACAAGATACAAATATTGACATATCTCTAGAAAGGATCAAATTATAATATGATTGATTTTAATAAGTCGAATACCCTTTTTGGTCCCTCTACTTGTAATACCCCCAAAATTTCTAGAGCATCAAGTGAGAGTTAGAGACCTAATTGTGAAGAAATACTATTAATGAACTTAATGGCAAAAATTTTCAAAGTTCAGGGACTAAAAAAAAAGGAAATTAGGATAAGGATCACGGCTGATATTTTTATCCTCAGCCACGTGTTTTGCTCTTCATCTTCATTTTTCTTCTCCTCTGCCGACCGAAGCTCCCCTAAGCCACCGACTCATCCCCTTTGAGAAAAATTGGTAACAAGCTTGATTTTTCCCTTCCTTTTCTTGTTAAAGAACTGATTTTAGGACCTAGAACCCTCCCTTTGAAGTGGGGATTTCAGATCTGCTCTGTTTCTTCCCTTGATCTGTCCGCTGTTCTGCTGGGTGTGAATCCTTCGGGATTTTTGGTAAGAACCAGCTTCAAGTTCATCTCTTTAGCTTGGGTCACTCTAATCCCTTTTGTTTCTTGCAATTTTGTGGTAGTTTTCATGATTTCTTCTCCAGTCTCTGTCGGCCTCCATACCCGCCAGCTCCGGTTTTGGCTGCTGGAAAAATACTGGTATGTTGATGGCATCTTTAAGTCCAAAAATGGTTAATTAGTTGCTGCCCGTGTTATCCGAAAACCCTCTGTTGTGCTGTCCGGATTTCTGCCGAAATATGGAAGAATTTGGCAGCATTTTAAACATGTTTTTTTAGCTTAATTCATGTAGAAATAAACCTGTTTTTGGCTTGAAATTAACTGCTGTTCTGTGTGGAAAAAAATCCTGCTGTTTTGCCAAAATTTTACCATTCACGCGCAGTTACTGTTCACGCAGGAAATTTTGCAATTTTCTGCTGCATTTTTCTGTAAACTTGCTGCTGCATTTTTCTGCACTTGCTGCTGCATTTTTCTGCAAGTTGCTGCTGTTTTCACTGTTCATGCAGAAACATTCTGCATTTTCCTGCACTGTTTTTGACCAGAAAACTCTGTATTTTCTCCAGAAAAATTCTGCATTTTGCAGCATTTTTCCTTGCTATTTTTCTGCATTGTTTTCCCCCAAATTTCTTGCCATTTACTGCAAATTTCTGCTCCTTGCCAAATTCTAGAAGTTGCAGTTACTGTTCACTGAGCGCACTGTTCACGTGCACTGTTCACACATTGAATTTTAATTAATTTGAGTAGAAAATCTCATGGAATACGTTAGTTATGGCATTGGATTAATTTTAGTCCAGTAGTGATGTATTATTGATTGGGGTTTTGTTTGGTTGTGAGAACGTGATGGGAAAATAAAAAGGAAATTGGTTATTAATTCTTGAATATTTTGATTAGGTTCTTGATCGTTCTGTCAGTTTAGTACGTGAATTGAGTGCTCAGTTTTGTGGAGTGAGGTAAGTAAATTTATGGTAATGCCCATACAGTTTTTAAAAACATGTTTTGATTTGTTTTTGAAATGGTGGTGGGATTAAACCCGTTTTACACGAGCATGACTGATTTGAAGTGAAATGTCTTATGCTTTTCATTAAATTGAGCATGCCTACTTGAAATTTAATGATTGTCTTGATGATCTGAAAGTGATTGGTAAATTATGTTTTTCTGTTAACTTCAGCCTGCTTTGTCTCCGATGTAGTTATGTTCTTGTAACCCTACTAGTGGGGGTTAAACACTAGCACATGTCGGCACATGTCGATATGTTCCTGTTAGAACCAGTTCGTTCCTATAACCCTGCTAGTGGGGGTTATACACTAGTAATTCCTGTTGCCTGTGAGTGGGAGGTTTAAACACTGGCCATGACCTATAGAGGAGACGTCTATTTCGTTTCCGTACTTGTATCCGTTTTCTGATTACACTTGTTGGCATGCTACAAGTTTAATTGACTACTACTGAACTTTATTATGCATAATGGTTATCATTGAGCATTCCGTTTATGTTTAAACTGTTTATCTAAAATGCTCAAATTTTACTCACGGGCTATCCATACATTTACTTATTGAGATATTGTATCTCATAGTTTTCCCTTGTCCACCATTTCAGGTAGTATGACCCGAGACATGGAAACCATGGGAAGTGACGAGTTAGAAGGCTAGCCATTTTGAGATTGATATAATTTTAGAAATAAATCATGTTTTTGTAAGATAGATTTTACCTTGTGATTTTAAGTTATTGGATTGTCAGATGTGAATTGAATAAGTTCCGAGCCTTGTGCATTTGTGGGATCCTCTCACGAGTGCACGGCGTCTGTCACGCCTTGAATTCGGGTTTTGGGGCGTGACACTACTATTGAAAAAATCTCCTTTTGGGTCCTTGTCATGCCCTAGAACCCAAATCCGGAGACGCGACAGACGTCGTGCACTCGTGAGATGGGTCCCACGAATGCACAAGGCTCGAAACTTATCCAATTCACAATCTGATACCACCAAATCTCAAGATAAAATTTTTACAATCTGCTCTGACATCATAAAATCTCCAAATACACTCTAGCTTACAGGATCATAATCTGTATCTAAAATCTATATCAAATTCCAGGTGACTAGCCTTCTATCTCGTCACTCCCCTCGGTTTCCCCCATCCTCAGTATCGCTTCTTGAAATGGTGGACAAGGAAAACTATGAGATAACTCAGTAAGTAATTATGGATAGCCCTTGGTAAAACTTTAGCATGCCAGATAAACAGTTTAATATAACCAAAACGCTTAGTGACAAAATCAGATTCAGTTCAATTGTAAAGCATTCAAAGACAACCCGTCCATGCAGAAGAAAATTCAGTTCAGTAGTCTCATCTATAAGTCATGGCCAGTGTTTACAACTCCCACTGGTAGGCATCAGTAATGGTACCAGTGTTTACAAACTCCCACTGGTAGGCGTCAGTAATAGTGCCAGTGTTTACAACTCCCACTGGCAGGCGTCAGTAATAGTGCCAGTGTTTACAACTCCCACTGGCAGGCGTCAGTAATAGTGCCAGTGTTTAACCCCATAGGCAGGGTGAACCGGTTCCACAGAAATAAATGTCGACATGTGCTAGCGTTTACAGCTCCCACTAGCGGGCGTCAGTAATCATGACTATATCCGAGACAAAACCATGCAAGATTTCCAAAAATCCATAATTCACAATCAATCTCAAATCTCAGAAACAAACCAGAAAATTTCCATGTGACCATGGATTTAACAGAAAACTCAGAATTTGCAAACTCTCAGTTCATCAAAACAGTTCCGTCAATTACCAAATAGGCATGCTCTATTCCAAAAAAACAATGAAATTCTCATTTTCATTTCTCAATCATGCTCATTTCCAGAAAATCAATAAAATCCTCATTTTCATTCCAATCATGCTCAATTCCAGAAAATCAATAAAATCCTCATTTTCATTCCAATCATGCTCAATTTCAGAAAAACAAGGAAATTTCCCATAAAACCCATCACAATTTGCATTCCAGTTTAATCACACTCAAATGCCGATAAAATCAATTTAAAGCTTGCCACCATCTCAAAAACAGTTTAAAACATGCTTTAAAATCAAAGGGCTTTACCATAATTTACTTACCTCACTCGCACAGAACAGAAGGCTAACCCAAGTGCTACGGTGACAGAACGATCAAAACCTAATCACAATATTCAACAATTAATAACCATATCACCACAAATTCAAAGTAAAATCATCATCGAGACTACCCCTAATCTCGATGTTATTTCTATCAATCTCCACATAACCGGACATCTCCAAATTTATTCTTATATCACAAACTAAACCTTTAAATCCCCGTTAATCATTAGCCCTCGGTGTGTGAACAGTGCCTATGAACAGTGCCCCGTGAACAGTGCTCACGACGTGAACAGTATTGCCAACTTCCAAAAATTGGCCAAAGCACTAGCTAATTCACGGGATTTTCACACAAAATATCACAGCAATCAATTAACACTCAATCACATAAATCCCACTTGAATTAAGCTAAATCATGGTCCTAAAGCTACCGGAATTCCTCCCATTTTCTAGCAAAAATTTGGACAACATAGGCAACCATCAATCAACTAGTTTTCAAGAATTAAAGAAGCCAACCTACCAGAAATTTTCCAGCTGCAGAACCGGACATGGCAGGGGGAAGAGGCCGGCGACAATTTGGGGGAAATTCTGCAGGAACTCACGGGATTTACCCAAAATTAAAGGAACCCAACTTAATCAAAGCTAAAAGGATGAAATCATGGTTGTTTCTTACCAGAAAAGTCGAGAATTCACACCCACACAAGCAGAAGCCAACGGACAAAGGCAAGAAGACAGCGCAGATTTGAAATTTCCAGCAAAGAGGGGGAATTTCTGGGTTTACTAAGGTGTTCTAAGACAAGAAAATAGGGAGAAATCCCCAAGCTTTGCCGGATTTTCGGCCGGAAATGGGTGGCGATGACGGGGTGGGTTCGTCGACTGCAGAGGGTCGGGGGAGAGGAAGAGCAGGGCATGCGGGTCTGATGGGGAAGGAAAGGAAGAAGAAAAAGAAAGAAAAAAAGAAAAGAAAAAGCAATTCATCCTTATCCTAATTTCCTTTCTTTTTAGTCCCTCACCTTTTTAAAATTTTGCGATTAAGCCCCAAAACAATATTTTTCCTCAAATAAGTCCCCAATTTAATGCTAAAATACCCCAAAATTTTGGGATATTACAGTCCTTGTACTGAAAAATCCCTTTTGTGGTCTTTAAAGTTTAAAATCCAATCCCTTTTTGGTCACTCTATTAATTTTTTGCTAAACTGTCACGTTAATTAATGGAATTACTTAATTATTTTTTAAATAAATATAAATGATGTGAAAGTAATATGGATAAAGTAATAGATTCGTGTAAGTATTTCATCTAAAAATTTTAGACGTGTACAAATTAAAAATTTTCCTTTTTTAATTATGAATTAAATAAATTTAAACATAATTAACTTTAAATTCTTCATCTTTTTCTTTCTCCTCATTCTTATCCTGGTCCTCACCTCACCCTCATCCTCGAGCATCATCATGTCACCGTTTATCTTCACCATCCCCTTAATCATCTTCACCATCCCTTTCTCGATGCTCTTCATCATTATGGGTTCCTTGGGTTTTACGAGGAACCCAAATCTAGGTTCCTCGAAGAACCCAATTTTTGGGTTCCTCGTAGAATCCAAGTTTTGGATTCATTATAGAAACTCAAATCGTGTTTGATATCTGGGTTTGAAACTGTAGATGATAGATTTATGTTGCTGTGTTTGTGTTGTTATGAACTTTATAACTTGGTGCATTCATGATCTAGATTCAAAAGGAAGAAAGGGTTAAGAATCTGATATTAGGGAGAGAGTAAAGAGAATAATCAATTTCACAGAGGAGAAGTTGGGGTTTATTAATGAAAATATTCCTATGGATTCTTAATAATATGTTAACCAATCTTATATGTAAACGGTTGATTATGAATGAAGAATTTTAAAAGAAAAAAGATGATTTCTGGAGAGGGAATTAAAAAAAAAAAGAATTTAGGGTTTTTCTTTTTTACGCTAACAGAGTTACATGGAAGGGTATTATTAAGTCCACGTAAGCACCTTTACATGGTGGAATATCCATGTTTGATGTTTCCATTAAGATAATGTGCCACATGAGCAAAAATTAATGGAGGAAGCAAAAAAGGGCCAGATTTTAAACTTTAAAGACACAAAAAAAAAAAAGGATTTTTTCAGTATAGGGACCAAAAAGGGGTTTTTTTATCAATAGTAGGGAAACTAAAAAGGGAATTAAACCGTTTTAATATAAAAGAAATAAAGAATATAAGTTTCAATTACAGAAGATAAAAATATCATATCATCATGAAGATTGATCAAATCATGAGAAATCAACTTATTAATTTATTGATTTCAAGGATTTGATATTATAATCTCATTAATTAATAAAAAAACTTTTAATTAATAGTTATTTTCTTTCATGGTGTATCCCTTACCATATGATATTAGAAACTTCTTCAATCTCACCCCCCCACTATCACATTTACTCTCTTACCATGGATGGTACTATAAATAAAGCAGTCCTCTCAGGCTAATTATTCCCACCTTATCACATCATCTCTCTCTCAAACTACTAGCTCTAGTTATGTACCTTAGAAACCCTGAGTGAAATCCCATTGCCTTTAAGGATCATGGCTAAGCAATCTACTACAAGAAAGGTTTTCTTTGCTGTCTTGATGGCTCTTGCATTAAGCGCTTAGGCACGACCACCTTTGCAAAATAAGGTTGAGAGCCACCTTCTTTTACAAGAACCAGGCTATGATGAAATGAAGCTGGACCATTACCATCATGTCTTCGCATCAACTATAGATATAGATAGGCAAACACATGGTGGACCTAATCCAATATACAACCCCCCCCACCCCCAAACATGGCTTAAGCATATATATAGCTCTTTACTGTCTTAATATATAGCTTCAAATCAGCACATATTGCATTATGTGTACGAATAAAGAAATGCGATATGCATTTGGCAAAATAATCAAATATCTATTTTCTCATGATTATTCTCTCTTTTCTTGCCAGATTACATGATATGTTTAAAACATTAACATAACTAATTTTTGGTTGAGGAACCGAGTTAAAGGCTTGGGTTACAATATTTGGCTCACAACTATCTAATCTATTTGGCTACGGATAAGCCAACTCCTGTTTAAAGCTAAGAAAGAAGAAGGGAAAAGGGTGGTGGAACTAGTGAAGATAAGATCTTTTTACTAGCTCAAGGCATCAAAATGGCCTAATTTATGCTTAGAGCTGTGACGTGAATCACTTAGAGAACCACTAGACATACAAGTTATCTCTTAATTGATTACACCTAATTGAACTTCGCTTGAAAAAAGGAACTTTAAAATTTAGAAAAATGATTAGTATAGACTCAATTTAACATAATTTTTAACATTTATCTCAGTTTAACTATTAAAATATAATATAAATACAATTGATTCAGTTGATTCTTGCATCCTATATGTATGACTAAACCTTTAAGTTTATTTGCTTTAAATTTCATATAAAAAAATAATTTTTTAATGAGCATGTTATACAATATATTGAATTAAAATGTGTATCAATCAATATTCTTGTATTTAACATGGGATAAAGGATATAATTTAGTGACAACATTTTTTCTCTTGTAAAGTTGAGTATGCTCCTACTCCCTTTTGTAAAGTTAATTTGTTGACATATAAAACAAAAAAGGGTGAATCTCTCTTCATCTATATATAGTTTACCATTTCCACATAAACCTTGTCACACAATAGTGACATACTAACATATGAATTTTGTGCTGATTAAAGTTAATAAAAAAAAAAAAGAAAAGAAAGATGAAAAATATTGATAAAAATTCAAAAATAATATATACAAGAAACTGTTACAAAAGTTCAATTATTAATCTTGTTGAAATTGTTATAAAGTGAATGTATTCCACTAACTTTGTCCTTTAAACTTGTGAAATCCACCTTCCTAAATAAAGACAACAAGGTAATTAATGTGGTAAAAAATTTTAGAGAAGAATTTGATAAACTTTCTTTACTCCAATGCAATGATTATGATTATATACGAAGAATGGTAAAATAGAAACTTCTATGGACAAAGATGAATTGATACCCTGGCTTCTACACGTTATAACATGTAAGAGATATAACCGCCAAGTTCAAAAGTTATATAACTCTCCTTGTGATATTTTTGGAACTCAAACAACATATTTCACAATTTAGAAACTTTTATTTTCATATTTACACTACAACCTCAATCTAAATGCATACTAGTGCATAACAAGGTAAAATGAATTCCCTCCCTCTGTATGCATTAATATAAAATGCACCCTGTGTGTGTTTTTTTTTTTTTCAATTTTCAAGTAATTCAACATATTTTTAAATGTTAAATGCATACCCTAATTAATATATAAGGTAGCATTTTATACCATGTATAAATTGAGTCAATTGTGGTAATAGGTTTTAGAATTATTATGTTAGATTGATTTAGAGTTTTGATTTAGAGTTTTTAAGTTTTTTGATTATTAAGTTACCTAAGGCTTTATATAAAGGCTACCTATGTCCTCATTTTCATGTTACAGAATAATGAAGCATTTTGAATTTATTTTATTTCTCTTTCTTTCTTTTCCTTGCTTTAATTTCCTACACAAACCTTGAACTTTTGGGAGAGTTGATGTCTAGGGCAAAGGTAGTGCTGATATTGATAATGAGGTTGACAGACTTCTAGGAAAAATGAATGCCAAACAGGATTTTAACATAAAAGTTGTTAATATATATAACAATCTACTTAAACATAAATTTTATACAAGATTTTAGCCATTCATTGTTTCATTATGTATTGATTAATAGCTTAGATTTATCGTAATATTTTGAAAAATAATACATATATCTTATAAAATTACACACTCTGTTACACAATTCAATAACT